TATTCCATTGGATATTCTTTCCTTTGTCAAAGATTAGTTGGCCACACGTTTGTGGGTCCATTCTATTCTATTCCATTGATCTGAGTGTCTGTTTTTGTTCCAGTACCATACTGTCTTGATGATTACAGCTTTGTAATGTAGGTTGAAGTCTGAAAACCTTTTTTTAAACCAGCCGTATCTATAAAGCTATTGAAACAGGCAGAATATAGACGATTTTTAGGGCAGTGAAAATACTATGTTGGTGATGGACATATGTTACTATTTCATTATACATCTGTCCAAGCCCATAAAATTGCACACCAAGTGTGCACCCTAATGTTATGGACTCTGGGTAATAACGAGGTGCTAATGTAGGTTCATGGATTGTGGAATGTACCCTCTGGTGAGGGATGTTGATAATGGGGATGGTTCCTTACATTAATACAATCAATTAATTACATCAATCACTCAACAAAGTAATTAATTAATTACATTAATACACTTGTTACAAGTGAAGAACCACTACTGATATATTTTCACTAAATGAAAGTCTATGACTTACACTGGGGTCCACTCTTTGCGGTGCATAGTTGTATGGATTTTGACAAATGCACATGGTCATGTTTCTGACATTATAGTATCCTACAGAAAAATTTCACTGTCCTAAAAATCTCTTGTGCTCCACCCATTCTTCTTCCCCATCCCATCTCTGCAAACACCTGGCAACCACTGATCTTTTTAACTCTATAGATGAAATCATGTCTTCTAAAGTGGTTGTATCATTTTCAATTCCCACCAGCAACAAAAGAAAGTTACTGCTCCACATTCTCATCAGCATTTGGTATCATCATTAAAAAAAAAAAAAATTAAGGCCATTCTAATAGGTATATATATTTGTGTTGTTTTAATTTTGCAGTTCCCTAATAAACACGATGTTGAACATCTTATTAAATGCTTATTTGCCAACTGTGTATCTTTGTTAGCTGTCTGTGGAGATGTTTTGTCCATTTTTGCATTAGGTTGTTTATTTTCTCATTGTTGAAGTTTGAAGAGTTCTTTATATATTTTGGACAACATCTGATCATCTAATGGGTGTTCTGGAAATTATTTCTCCCAGCGAGTGACTTATCTTTTCATTCTCTTAATAGTGTTTTTGTCAGAAAGGATGATTCTAACTTTAATCAAGTCCAATTTATTCTTTTATGGATCATGCTTTTTGATGTTTTATCTAAAAACACTGCCAAACCCAAGGTCACCTAAATTTTTTCCTGAATTATTTCACGTTTCTGCTGTATCACCAAAATGCCATAAAAAAGGATACTGACACTCAAAAAATCAGGACACGAGTGTGCCCATTTCTTTGCCACCTGAGCTCACTTCTCTTTATGTGATAAAATTTTCATTTACAAATGCCATGCTAAGAAATTACTTGAGATAGCAATTCAAGTGAAGATCCTCAGACTGCTAAGCCCCATACTCCATCAGAAGGGGTTAAGAGGGAAGCCCATAAAAACAAGCACTCCTGTCAAGTATGCCTTCTCTCCAAACGCTTAACAGCCATTTTTCTACCTTGAAATAACTCTTATTACCCTCTGTATCTGCATTTATGCTAGTGATTACAAGGAGACCGGGACTGCTTGTTCCCGCAGCTTCTGTACTCTCATGCCCACCTCGCTCTGCATGCTCCCCTTTCCACCTTCACTTCTTCATCCACCACTGCCCCTCCGTTTATGAACCGTTCTCCCCTGATGAACTGCCTCATCCACAGTGCTCTCTAGGAGTAGGCCAGTCCCTCTTAGCCCTTTGTACCACTGTACCTAGAGAAGGAGTGTCCTGGTGGTTCCTCATGCCAGAGATATCTACCTCCCTCTTCTGGAAGTCCCAGGCTTTCAAACTCACATCTACTTTACTTTGTTTCAAGTATCTACCAAACACTGTTATCATCTCTAACACTGCTCATAATTCAGAGCGATTTCAGTAGCTACAGAGATGCCAGTAACAGTTCCTTGACCTCCTCTTCTCCCATGCTTTTGTACTTTGGCCTCCCTTGGTCACACAAGCTCATGGTCACAGCCTGTGCCTCATCAGTACCCATGACTGCAACTCTGAAATCACTATTGCTGTCCACCTCCTACCTTCTACATTGTGAACACCCCCAACACCACGATCCTTTGACTCCACTAAACTTAAATAAATCCCATTGATCTCCAGTTGTTCATCATTCCTTCCATATAATCACTTCGACCCTCTTGCACTTCATAGCAATCACTTTGCTACATATCAAACTTTGCCTGCTCTTTGCTTGTACCTCCACAGCTAA